TAATTCAATACAGCCTCGCTGAAAGTTAAACAAGAGGATGTATTTGGTTCATGGTTGACGTTCTTGCGCTTAGTCCCCTTCCGAAGAAACAAAATATAAACCGGACGTTTTCCGTACAGGAATGTATGAAATAATGTCTGCCGATAAATCTAGTATTTTCAGGCAACGAAGATCAATCCAGAAACCCAATATCCTCCTCTAGAATTATTTATTTTCAAGGTGGCTCAGCATGTCAATACACAATAAACGTCAAAAAATGGTCAAGCTTTTTACTACAGCGCATAAAAGGAAAAAAAAAACAAAGACGAACGGAACAACGAAGAAAGCATTCAATAATATGCCGTGATCATGTCAACAAATATTTCAAATAGTCAAACATTTACTTGAACAAAGTTGCGAACAAATTCAGATTTACAAATGAATCGTTAACGATTCTTGGAATAATTTGAAATCTTTGATAATTTCAAGAAACGATAGAATTTGTTTGATAGTCATGCTTAACACTTATAATTAACTTGAGTACAAACTGCAGCATTTTCAGATCATTTGGGTCATTAATTAATTCTAATTTGCTTTTTTAACATACACAATTTACACAGGTAAATAAATTTCCGCGAACGTTCTGGGAAAATAAGGAAAACAATATAAATGATTACGTCTATTCGACTGCAAATCAAAGAATCGGTCAAGACAGTTCTTTAATTTCGTATCTGAAAATGCTAAGATTTGAAAAGTAGAAATAATTCTCCGACAACACAAGGAGCTCAACTGAAACCGAATTTTCTACGACCATGTAGTCATTTAATATTGTTTTTGAGCAAGGGCATTGCCCTGTGACATACAATTGCAATTTCACATTTTATATTGAAGCTACGCCTTCGTAGAAACTTATATTAATTAGTGCTGCGATTTTGTAGAACAAGACAACTTTTAAAAATGCTCAGCGTTGAATTGTTTGCCCATTTTGTATGAAAAACGAATTTGCTAGAATGATTGCCATGATCACGTAAGCAAGAGTTACCACCACGGTTTGATTTCAACATACAGCGTCACCTTAAAACACTCTACCAAGGTCATCGCCTAGTAACAAGTTTTCAAGGTTAGGAGAGTTGAGCGATTGTAAAACAATTTGGAATTTTCAAAAAAATAAATAACAATACTCGACTTTGTCAAAGTACACATAGTAAAGCATGCAAATGCCGAACCGATAAAATATAATTTCGTCAAGTTGCTGATCACTCAAGCAAAGAAATAAAACTCCCCGTAATTTGAAAACATGTAGTAAATGATTGCTCTAAGGCTGTTGAGTAACCTTTCCGTGAAAAATGGCAGAGCTCACTAACAATCGCTAACGAGTTTGATATTTTTCGCGCCCAAATATCACTCCAAAGCAAATATTTCAGCCGAGAAAACTGAAAAACTTTTATCAGTTAAAACGATTTGGTACTCCATTGAATCTTCTCTAGTTTCGAGACTGCCATTTCTTATCGGAGAGATTTCAATTCAACCAAATTCTCAAATGCTATTCTTAACTTTGTCTTCATCCTCCCTGCTTGAATCCTTGTGTTTTCCTGACTTTCCTTCAGTCGTTTACTCCCTGAAAATAAAATGAATGAAAATTGGATAAGGAACAAAGAAGTGTGGAAACACGAGTAAACGAGGAGTAAAGAACTAAAAGTGAATTGCTAAACACGAGTGCGCGTTGACGAATACAAGACAAAGTTTGACAAAGAAAGGTAGTTTTCATAACAAAAGCCAAATTCTCGTCGAAAAGACCACTAAGAACCTATCGTCTCGTATGGTTCAGAACTAGCCTCTAACGTACAATTTACTTTCTTACTAAAGCCATACGGTTGTTTTGAAGTTCAACACGAAATCTAAACCTAGTCCGGCAAGCGCACGTGGTGGCAGAATGACTTGGAGCCGGTATTTTTTGGTTGAAATATTACCTTAGAAGATAGAATGCAAAGAAATTGATATTAACCATTAGTAGAAATGGGTGTCAACCGACTTCTCTTCCCCCAAACGTCGACGCCATCTGTTCATCAAAGTAAGAATTCGCTTCTCCTGTAGAAGGGAACAGTAAACATCTTACTCCGACGGTAAACATCTCAAATTGACAAACAAGCACTTCAGATCAGCAATAGTCATCATGAATATGGAAAGCGACATTAGACCAATCAGCTAACTCCGGCACGTCACAAATCTTTAACGACAACACCCTTTGCACGCTTTCTTCTGCTAAACTTTGCATTACCTTTGTTCATATGGAGCCCACGTGCGCCCGTATGGACTGCAGAAACAAAAGGTCATTTTTCAAATATAATTAATGCCCCGTCCACAATACGCCGGAGGAATTTGACAACGGAGGTTTCACCATGAAAGCGCATCAAATGGTTTCTGTCCACACTACGCCACAGGAATATAAAAACGCAACAATCATCGGCCATTTTGGATTTGTATTTGAGGAAAACTACGTCAGAGCAATCAAATGATTATCGTGATTACATCGTTTTCGAAAAGCTCCGTTTTCAAATGTTTGCCGTCCGCACGAAAACGAAAGGCCGGCGTTTTCAAATTCCTCCAGCTTGTAGAGCGTTTTCGATCGCGAAAAGCTCCGTTTTCGTAACGGACTATCACGGATTATCATTTTGACATTCAAAGATACAAAAACTGATTAACCATGACATGTTTTTTCTGTCCTACGATCTATTCATCCTCGTAACACACATGGTAAGACCCAGTACAACTTGAGTTCAGGAAAACTGGCCAAAAGCAAGGTTGTCTAAGTCATTGACAAGGCAAGAGGCTCAACGAAAAATCGTTGTTTTAAATTTAGTTTCAGCTAGTTGTGTTTCGTCTATGAGAGGTTGTCACGTGAGATTGTCAGTTCTTGGGCAACTAGTGCCAGTCCCAGGTTTAGAGAGTCGCACTTGCGGTGAAATTACAGACAATGTTGATGAAAATAAAGCTTCTACTTTCCCCATCACCGTACCTCTTTGATTGGAAGGAACTCAACAGGGAAAAGCTTTCATAAAAGCTTTAATAGTTGATGACGTTTGTTGTGAGCCAGAATTAAAACATTAAAAAATCAGGCTAGAACTTTTGATTAGCCTTACGTCTTTATAAAATTTGTTTATTAAGTGCATTGCTGCCTCTTGCTTATCTTTACAGAAACTTGTGTTTATTGTGCTCTCGTTTGCATAAAGTGGTCCAATCCTTTTTTAAAGTCTTCGCATATTGTTTACTCGCTTAAAAAACAGGGCTTGATCAACGAAAGAAATGCTAAAGGAAAATTTTACAGTAACTCAGCTTTGATCCCTAATCTTAAAATTTGTTTTTAATACTAAATAAATTAAAATTAAAGAAAAAGAAAATTAAAACAAAGTATTAGTGCTACAAAAAAAAGCAACAACAACAACAACAACAAAACAATATGAGTTTAACCCGAGCCTGGAATAAGGAAAATAAAATCTAGTAGTTCGCTGACGGACGTTGAACCCACACCTCCCTGAACTCCTCCGCACGGGGGCTTTCATTGCATGAAATGACAAAAACCACCTGGATAGGGAGGATTTATGATCAACTAGGCTATTTACTAAGTTCATATTTGTACCTAGAGAAAACCACAGTGAATTCGGAAACTAATCATGCAATAATCTATAGGGGAACGCATAGGGTAATGTACACCAGAACGGACAGAAGCGCAAAGGCACGGATAGAACGCACGACAAAATATGCTCGAGGGAGTGCACGTTGTAACGGACGAACAGCCACTGGGGAGAACATACGGCTTATTCACGGGTAACATGGGCAGAGAAACCCCGGGTAAGCGAGTGGGAGAGCGCACAGAATTGCGCATAGAAGAACACACTTGGGAATAGACAGAGAACGCAACGCGGTGTAATGGAAGGGCAGAAAGAATTGTTCGTTCCACTTTCAGATGTGATAAAGAAAGTTATACCAACTTCATCTTGGAATTTTGTGGAATTTTATATGAAGTTTAAGACCCAGTTTCGGGATGGAAGAAAGTATTATTACAAGAATTATAGAGTAACATAGCCTGCTAATATAGCAAGACACGACACAAAGAAGTCTTGACAAGAGATCTTGGGACTCACACTTTCCTGGCTAAAATGTTTTTACGGTTAAGATTCTTTACGGTTAACGGTTAAAATTTTCTAACTTTGACGTCTAACGGCTGAATTTTTGGCCCGTTTTACGGCTAAAGGCTTACCGCATTGAGACTCTCTTATAGAAATTCGCTGGGCGAGTTAGCAGGCGCAGAGTCGGATGGGAGCCACGAGCGCTTGTGATCCTCTTCCGAGGAGAGAGCTTTTGTCCAATGAGGTGTTGTGCTGTGCTTGGTTTGGTTTAGGGCCTTTTAACTGACATCGGCGGATGACTTTGTCCGGTTACGCAAACCGGTTCACTGAACTGCTAAAAAAATCCGTTCACAATCAACTATCGAGCATATTCCAGTTGAATAAGCCACAAGATACATCCGAAACATAAAGTTTAACAGAAAGTCAAACTCGCTGACTGTAAATACCAACGTCAATTGATATGAAAAATTTCGATACTTAAAAGAGATAAGTCACGGTTTCGGCATCATGAAAAGTTTAGCTTATATTTTTCAAGTTCGTCGTTTACAATCCGTGTCAATCTTCTTCATCCTTAACCATCCTTGTTCCTTCGTGGTTCATTACGATCTCTGGTGTTTTTCTATCTTAATAAACTACTATTTACAGGTTTCCAGTTTATTACAGGTAATTTTGTACGTGGTCAAATTAACTCAAAATGCTGTGCCTGAGCTTTTTTAATGACATAACATAAGTGAGTTTGACAAAGCCTGCTGGACTACCGAAGCAAGTTGAGCTGAGAGTAGGTTCATGCAAAGATCGAGATACCAGCCTTATTTCTCAAATAACCGCGCTGGTTGGTAATTAATTCAAAACTCGACCTCATGAAGCGAGCATTTATTTGAGCCTAGCGTTGAAAGTAGCATTGGAAATGAACGCTCTATTAAATTAACGCAAGTTCAAAAATTCTCGCGCTAATTAACTCGTGTTAATTTCATGGAACGTTAATTTCGGCGTTAAATTTTTCACGACAGTAAGTTCTATTATTTTGACAAAAATAATTATAAATCCTGTCCTAACAATTCTCTCCGCAAACTGACATTTTTGTGTGCACCCACCAGCGTTAATTTTCCTGTTTAGGACGATCTTGCCTGTTAATTACGCAATTCGCGAAATTAATTAAGTCGGGGCGTGATGTATGCAAACCCTATTTTTATATGTTTAATATAAGGGACTTGACGTTCAATCGCGAAAATACGGTTACCCGAGAACACTGATCTGAACGGAAACGTCACGCTGACTGAATTAGGATAGACAGAAAGTTTTAAACACTTATGGATTAACATGCTTGAAGTATGAAGAGAAATTCATTTTACCTTAATTCACTGAACGCAAGATCTAGCAAACAGGGCCACGTTGTTCAAGGAGTGGGTAACCCTATCCATCGAATAAATTACTCGCCACTGGACAGCGTACGGTTTGTTTTGCCAACGATATTCGGAAGATACAGTTATCCACTCTTTAAACGACAGTAGCAATGAATTGAATAAGGCGCTTTGAAAAGCTCTGCCACTCAGAAAAGCTCCATTGCTATGTCCACTCGAGATTGAGTTCTTGAATATTGTAAAAATTACGAAAATTCCACAATTGAAGGGTCGTTAATCAATGAGCTTTTAAACGCGGGTTCAGTACTTTTGATTGTGGATATCACCACCCTTAACAATGAGTTCTTTGGTAAATAGGTATTCATATTAAGAATACAGCTTTAATTCAACTTGCTAGTGTGAGGAAAGAAGAGTTTTGATTGTTTGTTAAGTATCATGATTGAATAAGATACAAGCGATCGCCGGAGGGTATCGATTTTGTTTGTGAAAATGAATCTAAGCAAACAGGTCACATATTTATCGACTTAGTTGTTTTACTATAACATCGTACTTTTTCTTTGTCTCTAGTCTCATCCCGGTCGTTTCATTAAACGTTTCGCCCCTGTGCCTGTCTCAACCAAGCTATGGGAGTTTTTTTAAACATACTGATGAATAAAAACAGGTGATCAAGTCACATTTGTTTCAGAGATGTTTGGTGTTCTACAGACCATGTAGAAAAAGGTCGGTGCTTGCAATGAATGGTCTACTGGCATATGACAGGTATACGAAAGTGGCCCTTCATGGTTGAATAGATAAGTACTTTTAAAACGTGTTACTCGGGAAAATCTTAGCAAAATTAATCGCTCCTGAATTCTGGGAGCATTTAGCACTGCTCAAGAAGCAGAAATGGATGGAAACAAAGTTGGAATGGCACGTTTTTTCATGTTATTTCTTTTTGCAAAATTGGTTTCGGGGAATTTTAGTGACGAACAGTCCACGGACATACAAGACTCAGCTGTTTGGAAACGAGAAAAAGTCAAAACTGAACAAAAAGAGGTAGGAAAATGCTTTTTGTCCTAATTGTTTGTTTTGAAATAGTTGGGCGTTTCTTATAATAATGATCCCGGGGTAAACGTACTTGTCATTTTTAGTTCCAGTGGCCAAAATTTCAGCCTGAATGGTGAAAGCTAAGAGGCGAGATCACCATGAACCGTATACACGCTACATATTTTCTTTGAATTTGGATGAAACTACAAAATTTAGTAAGAGTAGTATTTTCGTGATCAGTGTAAAATTTACTGACTGTCGAATTACAATCATGACAAGCAGTGATATAGAAAATAATAATTATTTCTTTCGTCGAAATTTCAAAGGTGGAAATAGGCTGAATAATATACCACTCTCAGATTTTTCTTAAAGGAACTGTAGGTTGTACACAAAATTGAGAAATTACCATACACTATTTTAACGAAACACGACAATCGAGTTTTTGATTTCCTTATACAGTAGATAGCTTTTGCTTGAACATCGCCGCGGTTGTATACGCTTCATGAGATGTTTTGATCACGCAACAGCGAATAGAAAAACATATCACAATCTTTTCATTTTTTGAACTCCAGAAATCACTCAACCAATCAATCGTTGGAGGCGCGTTGCTACGCCTTATCGGTTGACCAACTTGATCATAGTTAGTATGTAAGAGTTGAAGGACCGCTGGATGCTTAAGAAACTTCAAGCTTATGAAAACCAAGAGCTATGAAACTGTATCGACGGCTTTACAGCCGAACACGAGCTCAGAGAACCACAGGAAGATCGAGGTTTAGCGATCAATCTAAGTCAGATTCCTAACTTTTTATTTGTAACACAGTTGATAATCTACTAATACAAACTACTTTCTTGCAAACTATATATTGTTTGCCGTTTCACGGACTATATATACACATAACAAGCACGATCACACATGGCACACAATGCACGACGAGAGGGTTTCAATTCGCTGTCATCGAGATCGTACACGTTTTTAAAACTGTTCGGTCGCGAATTCGGGTAAAAAAATCAGATTTTCTGCACTTACACTATTCACTGCCGCTGAAAATTCCTCTTGTAAAAATTCGTCCTGTTCCAAGACATCCAAAATCGCATCCATATCATCTCCAAGTATCGTAAGTCCGTCTTCTTCTCCCTCCATTTTGTTTACAACGTGTGCAGAGTCAGTATCACGTGATGTGCAGGCTCAACATCAGACACAAATCTATTGTTTCGCTCTCTGAAGTTCGCCGGGTTTCATAACCAGTCTCCTCTACTAACTATGAACTTGACCGAATAGTCGATCAAGATTTTAGGCGCACTGGTTGTCTGGTAGGGTGGTTAGAAAAGGATTTGTTATAAGTCAATTAATCCCTTTAGCCTTCACTGAATTATAGATATCCTTGTACTTTGCACTATCTTCTTTTGTTCAAAACAGGAAGATTTGCGATCAGAAGATACAACTTACAATTCCTTTGTGGACTCACTTCTCCATGAAACAAAACGCAAAAGCAAGAAAGTTGCTCCAAGAATTTCTTATTTCCACAAAAGAAAGAGTGTTGCCAGCAAGGTTATCCCTGAAATTGCTCGAGTTCTTGCAAAACACATCGAAGGCATGGAACCTCAGTTTAAGTCAGCTTCCTTCAATCAGCTGTGGCAAGAGCTGAGAGAACCGCTGACGAACGTAATGAAACCGCGAAAAGTGGAAGAATTGCTGACTGAACTGGAGCAATGCAAACTGGGTGACGCGCAACATACATACGAGTTTCCAACCGACGTCGAAAGTATCAAAAGAGACTTAGTCATTTGCAAAATCGGCGAAATTCTGGAGGTGAATGGAGAGGAATCGTCCAAGAACCAAGGCAATTATGCACACATCTGGAGTCTTCTAAAAAATCCGCTGACCAGTTGTTTTAAGGTCACAGAGCTGTCGTCGCTGATAAAAGACCTACGGAAATGTTTGCCGCGATTTGAGCTGGCCGGAATTAAGTACGTAGTACCAAGCAAGATGTCTGAAGTGGCAAGGGACGTAGTCATTTGCAAAGTCGATGACGTACTTAATAAATCTTTCAGTGAGAAAGGTTCTGGAAGTGAAATAATCCCATAGGAAATGCTTTTCTGCATGCTTTCGCAAGGATATTGGTCTTAACTCTTGCACCTCCAAGACCGTCATATTTGAAAATTGAAAAAAAAAGATAATCTAAATTTCATTTTTTATGATACAGTGAAAACATGAAAAGAAACAATAGCATAGGAGAGGACTGCTTGATGGCTTTTATATAAATATTCCAAGCTAGGTTTTCATCCTCAGTTAAAATCACACACACCAGGAGCCCGTGACCAGGAGCCTCCATACGTACTGTACCCTTGAGTCAACCCTTTCCCGTATTAATTTATTTTTAGAATTNCTGGAATAAGGAAAATAAAATCTAGTAGTTCGCTGACGGACGTTGAACCCACACCTCCCTGAACTCCTCCGCACGGGGGCTTTCATTGCATGAAATGACAAAAACCACCTGGATAGGGAGGATTTATGATCAACTAGGCTATTTACTAAGTTCATATTTGTACCTAGAGAAAACCACAGTGAATTCGGAAACTAATCATGCAATAATCTATAGGGGAACGCATAGGGTAATGTACACCAGAACGGACAGAAGCGCAAAGGCACGGATAGAACGCACGACAAAATATGCTCGAGGGAGTGCACGTTGTAACGGACGAACAGCCACTGGGGAGAACATACGGCTTATTCACGGGTAACATGGGCAGAGAAACCCCGGGTAAGCGAGTGGGAGAGCGCACAGAATTGCGCATAGAAGAACACACTTGGGAATAGACAGAGAACGCAACGCGGTGTAATGGAAGGGCAGAAAGAATTGTTCGTTCCACTTTCAGATGTGATAAAGAAAGTTATACCAACTTCATCTTGGAATTTTGTGGAATTTTATATGAAGTTTAAGACCCAGTTTCGGGATGGAAGAAAGTATTATTACAAGAATTATAGAGTAACATAGCCTGCTAATATAGCAAGACACGACACAAAGAAGTCTTGACAAGAGATCTTGGGACTCACACTTTCCTGGCTAAAATGTTTTTACGGTTAAGATTCTTTACGGTTAACGGTTAAAATTTTCTAACTTTGACGTCTAACGGCTGAATTTTTGGCCCGTTTTACGGCTAAAGGCTTACCGCATTGAGACTCTCTTATAGAAATTCGCTGGGCGAGTTAGCAGGCGCAGAGTCGGATGGGAGCCACGAGCGCTTGTGATCCTCTTCCGAGGAGAGAGCTTTTGTCCAATGAGGTGTTGTGCTGTGCTTGGTTTGGTTTAGGGCCTTTTAACTGACATCGGCGGATGACTTTGTCCGGTTACGCAAACCGGTTCACTGAACTGCTAAAAAAATCCGTTCACAATCAACTATCGAGCATATTCCAGTTGAATAAGCCACAAGATACATCCGAAACATAAAGTTTAACAGAAAGTCAAACTCGCTGACTGTAAATACCAACGTCAATTGATATGAAAAATTTCGATACTTAAAAGAGATAAGTCACGGTTTCGGCATCATGAAAAGTTTAGCTTATATTTTTCAAGTTCGTCGTTTACAATCCGTGTCAATCTTCTTCATCCTTAACCATCCTTGTTCCTTCGTGGTTCATTACGATCTCTGGTGTTTTTCTATCTTAATAAACTACTATTTACAGGTTTCCAGTTTATTACAGGTAATTTTGTACGTGGTCAAATTAACTCAAAATGCTGTGCCTGAGCTTTTTTAATGACATAACATAAGTGAGTTTGACAAAGCCTGCTGGACTACCGAAGCAAGTTGAGCTGAGAGTAGGTTCATGCAAAGATCGAGATACCAGCCTTATTTCTCAAATAACCGCGCTGGTTGGTAATTAATTCAAAACTCGACCTCATGAAGCGAGCATTTATTTGAGCCTAGCGTTGAAAGTAGCATTGGAAATGAACGCTCTATTAAATTAACGCAAGTTCAAAAATTCTCGCGCTAATTAACTCGTGTTAATTTCATGGAACGTTAATTTCGGCGTTAAATTTTTCACGACAGTAAGTTCTATTATTTTGACAAAAATAATTATAAATCCTGTCCTAACAATTCTCTCCGCAAACTGACATTTTTGTGTGCACCCACCAGCGTTAATTTTCCTGTTTAGGACGATCTTGCCTGTTAATTACGCAATTCGCGAAATTAATTAAGTCGGGGCGTGATGTATGCAAACCCTATTTTTATATGTTTAATATAAGGGACTTGACGTTCAATCGCGAAAATACGGTTACCCGAGAACACTGATCTGAACGGAAACGTCACGCTGACTGAATTAGGATAGACAGAAAGTTTTAAACACTTATGGATTAACATGCTTGAAGTATGAAGAGAAATTCATTTTACCTTAATTCACTGAACGCAAGATCTAGCAAACAGGGCCACGTTGTTCAAGGAGTGGGTAACCCTATCCATCGAATAAATTACTCGCCACTGGACAGCGTACGGTTTGTTTTGCCAACGATATTCGGAAGATACAGTTATCCACTCTTTAAACGACAGTAGCAATGAATTGAATAAGGCGCTTTGAAAAGCTCTGCCACTCAGAAAAGCTCCATTGCTATGTCCACTCGAGATTGAGTTCTTGAATATTGTAAAAATTACGAAAATTCCACAATTGAAGGGTCGTTAATCAATGAGCTTTTAAACGCGGGTTCAGTACTTTTGATTGTGGATATCACCACCCTTAACAATGAGTTCTTTGGTAAATAGGTATTCATATTAAGAATACAGCTTTAATTCAACTTGCTAGTGTGAGGAAAGAAGAGTTTTGATTGTTTGTTAAGTATCATGATTGAATAAGATACAAGCGATCGCCGGAGGGTATCGATTTTGTTTGTGAAAATGAATCTAAGCAAACAGGTCACATATTTATCGACTTAGTTGTTTTACTATAACATCGTACTTTTTCTTTGTCTCTAGTCTCATCCCGGTCGTTTCATTAAACGTTTCGCCCCTGTGCCTGTCTCAACCAAGCTATGGGAGTTTTTTTAAACATACTGATGAATAAAAACAGGTGATCAAGTCACATTTGTTTCAGAGATGTTTGGTGTTCTACAGACCATGTAGAAAAAGGTCGGTGCTTGCAATGAATGGTCTACTGGCATATGACAGGTATACGAAAGTGGCCCTTCATGGTTGAATAGATAAGTACTTTTAAAACGTGTTACTCGGGAAAATCTTAGCAAAATTAATCGCTCCTGAATTCTGGGAGCATTTAGCACTGCTCAAGAAGCAGAAATGGATGGAAACAAAGTTGGAATGGCACGTTTTTTCATGTTATTTCTTTTTGCAAAATTGGTTTCGGGGAATTTTAGTGACGAACAGTCCACGGACATACAAGACTCAGCTGTTTGGAAACGAGAAAAAGTCAAAACTGAACAAAAAGAGGTAGGAAAATGCTTTTTGTCCTAATTGTTTGTTTTGAAATAGTTGGGCGTTTCTTATAATAATGATCCCGGGGTAAACGTACTTGTCATTTTTAGTTCCAGTGGCCAAAATTTCAGCCTGAATGGTGAAAGCTAAGAGGCGAGATCACCATGAACCGTATACACGCTACATATTTTCTTTGAATTTGGATGAAACTACAAAATTTAGTAAGAGTAGTATTTTCGTGATCAGTGTAAAATTTACTGACTGTCGAATTACAATCATGACAAGCAGTGATATAGAAAATAATAATTATTTCTTTCGTCGAAATTTCAAAGGTGGAAATAGGCTGAATAATATACCACTCTCAGATTTTTCTTAAAGGAACTGTAGGTTGTACACAAAATTGAGAAATTACCATACACTATTTTAACGAAACACGACAATCGAGTTTTTGATTTCCTTATACAGTAGATAGCTTTTGCTTGAACATCGCCGCGGTTGTATACGCTTCATGAGATGTTTTGATCACGCAACAGCGAATAGAAAAACATATCACAATCTTTTCATTTTTTGAACTCCAGAAATCACTCAACCAATCAATCGTTGGAGGCGCGTTGCTACGCCTTATCGGTTGACCAACTTGATCATAGTTAGTATGTAAGAGTTGAAGGACCGCTGGATGCTTAAGAAACTTCAAGCTTATGAAAACCAAGAGCTATGAAACTGTATCGACGGCTTTACAGCCGAACACGAGCTCAGAGAACCACAGGAAGATCGAGGTTTAGCGATCAATCTAAGTCAGATTCCTAACTTTTTATTTGTAACACAGTTGATAATCTACTAATACAAACTACTTTCTTGCAAACTATATATTGTTTGCCGTTTCACGGACTATATATACACATAACAAGCACGATCACACATGGCACACAATGCACGACGAGAGGGTTTCAATTCGCTGTCATCGAGATCGTACACGTTTTTAAAACTGTTCGGTCGCGAATTCGGGTAAAAAAATCAGATTTTCTGCACTTACACTATTCACTGCCGCTGAAAATTCCTCTTGTAAAAATTCGTCCTGTTCCAAGACATCCAAAATCGCATCCATATCATCTCCAAGTATCGTAAGTCCGTCTTCTTCTCCCTCCATTTTGTTTACAACGTGTGCAGAGTCAGTATCACGTGATGCGCAGGCTCAACATCAGACACAAATCTATTGTTTCGCTCTCTGAAGTTCGCCGGGTTTCATAACCAGTCTCCTCTACTAACTATGAACTTGACCGAATAGTCGATCAAGATTTTAGGCGCACTGGTTGTCTGGTAGGGTGGTTAGAAAAGGATTTGTTATAAGTCAATTAATCCCTTTAGCCTTCACTGAATTATAGATATCCTTGTACTTTGCACTATCTTCTTTTGTTCAAAACAGGAAGATTTGCGATCAGAAAATACAACTTACAATTCCTTTGTGGACTCACTTCTCCATGAAACAAAACGCAAAAGCAAGAAAGTTGCTCCAAGAATTTCTTATTTCCACAAAAGAAAGAGTGTTGCCAGCAAGGTTATCCCTGAAATTGCTCGAGTTCTTGCAAAACACATCGAAGGCATGGAACCTCAGTTTAAGTCAGCTTCCTTCAATCAGCTGTGGCAAGAGCTGAGAGAACCGCTGACGAACGTAATGAAACCGCGAAAAGTGGAAGAATTGCTGACTGAACTGGAGCAATGCAAACTGGGTGACGCGCAACATACATACGAGTTTCCAACCGACGTCGAAAGTATCAAAAGAGACTTAGTCATTTGCAAAATCGGCGAAATTCTGGAGGTGAATGGAGAGGAATCGTCCAAGAACCAAGGCAATTATGCACACATCTGGAGTCTTCTAAAAAATCCGCTGACCAGTTGTTTTAAGGTCACAGAGCTGTCGTCGCTGATAAAAGACCTACGGAAATGTTTGCCGCGATTTGAGCTGGCCGGAATTAAGTACGTAGTACCAAGCAAGATGTCTGAAGTGGCAAGGGACGTAGTCATTTGCAAAGTCGATGACGTACTTAATAAATCTTTCAGTGAGAAAGGTTCTGGAAGTGAAATAATCCCATAGGAAATGCTTTTCTGCATGCTTTCGCAAGGATATTGGTCTTAACTCTTGCACCTCCAAGACCGTCATATTTGAAAATTGAAAAAAAAAGATAATCTAAATTTCATTTTTTATGATACAGTGAAAACATGAAAAGAAACAATAGCATAGGAGAGGACTGCTTGATGGCTTTTATGTAAATATTCCAAGCTAGGTTTTCATCCTCAGTTAAAATCACACACACCAGGAGCCCATGACCAGGAGCCTCCATACGTACTGTACCCTTGAGTCAACCCTTTCCCGTATTAATTTATTTTTAGAATTGATCTCCCGCAGGTTTCCCGCATTTTCCACGCATTCCGCCATTACTGTTATTATTTCGCTGTAAGCTGTGACCAGCGGCGTGTGACGGGCGCGTGACGTATACAATAGCTTCCCTCTGATTGGGCATTCTAAAGAATTTGCGGGAACACGAGAGCCCCGCGGTGTTCTAAAAATAGATTAATACGGGAAAGGGTTGACTCCAAGGGTTAGTATGGGAGATGAAGGCTCCTGGTCATGGGCTCCTGCACACACTGATTGACCCACGGTTCGATCATGAAAGTAAAAGGCAACTAAGGAGATAATTATTAGACCAGGTTGAGCAAATATCGTGATTTATCAGTGGCGAGCAGGTCAAGTTATCCGGTTGAGGCAAATAATTGATCTGTGAGACACTCCCAAATCACGACATTTTGCGATAACCGAGTCCGAGAATTGTTTTAACATTCTATCACCAAGTTTGTTTTGATATTTGAATCAGTCTCTGACAGGCGATCTGCCAATTTTTTTACACAAGAGCTTGGTTAACATTATGTATGAGCAGAATCTATTGAACAGATTTGAGACCCCTTTAGGAGTTGGGGGGGGGAGTGTCTGAGTGTCCCACATCCCGTTAATGTTTGGTCTAAATATGCCGTATTCCTTTAATTCCAAAATTTTGCAGAAAAAAAAATTAACGGTTTTCCTACTTACTTCCCGTTTTATCTGATCTAAATATCCCATATCCCATAAGTTTTCCCCAAAATTATCCTGTATCCAGTTAATTGTTTTATCCAAATATCCCGTGTCCTGAAAACCCCTAATGGGGCCTTTTAGAAGGTATTACGCATGAGCAGACATTGTTTGTAAGCAGTTATTTGCAGGTTACATGATGAGCTCTCGGCCAATAAAAAGGAAGGAAAAAATGTAAAAGAAATGACAAAAATACTCATTTAGAGAAATGTTTAGCTAAAGAATTTTAGCAACTGGACTGAAGTTAAGTTGTAATTAGGTCGTCCGAAGAAATTAAAAATACTGAATTATCTTTTAAATTGAGATAAATAACGAATTTTAAAACAGTAAGGTAATGTGCAACTGAGACAGATCGTCAAACGAACTGTTACCATTAAAGAAAATGAAATGTTCTAACGTGAATCTGTTATTGGGGCTATTTATTTATGAGCGATAATGAACTGAACGCATATAAAATGAAAGCCTACTGAAACACAGTCGCCTACGATAAATATACACAACTCTACTGGGAATAAATATAAGTACTCTGACTAAAATAATTAACAATTTTTCGACGAAGTTGAGCAAAATATCGTGATTTATTAGTGGCGTGCTCAAGTAAGCGATCCCCCTAAAGGTTCTTTTTCATATAATGCAAATGAAACTCGTCTTTACATGAAATTAGGTTTTGCATGGGGATTCGTTTTGAAACAGAGTATGGATAGTAGAAGAGACTGGATAGGAAACTATAGGTCACGTGTAGTGTATTGAACACGTTGATTGGCTAAGGGCATATTTGAAAATGATGGAGTCTGGTGGAAATTCATGACGTAGAAAATGGCGTGAAAATGGCGTAAGTATAGGAAAATTTACTATTGTTCCCTCGAGTTTTTGCGTTTTTGGTTAGTTGCAACACTTTGGTAAGTATTTAATTGCCTTATTTTCTTTTTTGCCCGAGCCAACCCGCCCAAGCCACACACGGATGACTAAGGTAACAGTATGATGTTATGGCTGTAATTTATTTTTTTTCTCGAGACGCCGAAATATGGTCAACTGTTAACCATATTTCAAGCGTAAATCCATGATTTTTTTACTCATTTTTCTCATATTTCTTCGGTGTGTAAAAGCAACTATGACATTTGCAATTTAATTCAAACTTCAAATTGTGGCTTGGTCATATTTTCGGCGCTGAGTGTAATTTCTAGCGGCTAAAGTCAGAGGTTTACTTCTTGTAAATTTTCAAGTGTGTTGACGTATTTGTTTAAACATGCATGATAATTCAAACATGCATACTCATGCAAATAGCTGAACGATGTCTGAACCCCAAATCAGCTAGTGGGCCCTTCGCGCGATCCGGTCACATGGTACAAAATATACATGCTAAGACACAACTTGCACGGTGGGAATTCCAAAACAAAGGCAGGTCAAAGTGGACTGGTACGAGTTGCTTTGTTTTGGAAGTCCCACCGTGCAACATGTGACGTGAGCCTCTAACCTTCGACACGGTTCACAATGCTAGGTTTATATTAGACCACGAGTAGTTCCTCTTTCGCTTAGTCCGTCGTGCGTGACGCGAAAGAAAACCGCGAGAAAAAAATGGCCGCGCGAACTCCTGGGGTTGAGATGCACGCAGGTCTCGCCCCCAGGATTTCACGCGGCCATTTTTTTCTCGCGGTTTTCTTTCGCGTCACGTACGACGGACTAAGCGAAAAAGGGACTACCTGCAGTCTAAGTTTATATGCAAGGTCTTAATGAATGCAAGTATTCATCGTTCCTCTCCTACTTGCTTTCCAGCTATCAGTCGAGACACACTCGATTCCTCTTTGATTCCCCTAAAGTCAAAAGGTTGTTTACCATCTCGGCTTGAGTACGGATAATATCTCTGTAAACGCTCTTCAGTGACCAAGGTAGGATCAAAGATACCGTGTGAGCAAGAAAATATCCAATTTAGAAGACTCTCGATGCTTTCGAAAACCAGCTGCTTGCTAAATGTATCATAACTCGTAACAATATGAAATCCTGCGGTGGAGCAGTATTCCTCTATCTTGGCCCTATGTTCGAATTGACACATTTCAAGAAAACGTGGCGCGTTCTCAGGATTGAGAACCTTGTAAGCGCTCATTTCAAACGACAGAAAACAATCATTGTACTGAATGGCTAATTTTCCTCCACGTTTTAGACTTGCAAACATAATATTGAAGACTTCTTGTTTGTCTGGAATCCAGTGGATGACATGATTACTGAAAATAATGTCGTATGACTCCGAACCAATCCCTGGGAAGTTTGAAGCGCTTCCTTCCACGAATGAGAGATTTTTGACCTCATCATAAGACCGCTGAGCCAGGAGAATTCGCTCCTTGTCAGGGTCAACAGCTACAACCTTTCCCTCGGGTCCTACAAGCTCAGCGAGATATGCAGACAGCTCTCCAGTACCGCAGCCTAAATCCAAGATGGTGTCTCCAGCTTGAGGACAAACATCCGTTTGAATGAACATTTCACCGTCCACTTTTTGTACGGAAAGCGAGCTCTGTTTGTATCCCTTTGCTGCACTATTGCTAGAGGAATTTGCCATCTCTTATACCAAATCAAACAATGAGCTTTTACGCGCTTCAAATTCTTGTATGGCTACCGATCTTTGTGGGTTTGGTTGATCTTACTGGCCACATTTATACAGTGAACCTACAGACCCCCTGGTGTCCGTTTTAAAGCGGTTACCTGTTAGATAGCAATTGGCACTTACAATTTGAGCAATAGACCTTTTAGCGTGGGGGGTTTGTTGCCTCATTTCTGCTTAGCAACCGTAGCCGTTATTGATGCATGCATGAAATCAATTGAACAAACGCATATAGCGTTGCTATTCTCCGTCATAAGTAATGCTTGATATTTGATAGTCCATTTTGTTCAAAATCTAAGATATAAAGTGTTTAGCAATCTTACATTCCACTCGGGCTTTTAATCATTACCGCCAGTCATTTATTTTATGCACAAGCTTTCGTGTCACTTCTGGCGTGGAAAATTAGACTGAGAGGTTGCATAAACTTAAGCTGCTCGTTTGTTCTGTCCTCGCCTCCTTACCGCTCCGCAGAGATTTTGTTCACTCTTCGATATTTTTGTATCATCTATGAGCGACTTCTCGAGGTTTTGGGGGCGAGTTGTCCAACTTGCCCGTCAATAATCGAATGGTTCACCACTTATGCTAAAGCGATCATACGTTTGATTTAAAAGGAAACGAAGCGAAACACGAAACAGAATAAAGCAACAGAGATCAGTATCACTGGAAAAGTTGAACCATTTACAGACTTCTGGAAAGTTTGTTAAATCTCTGTAAAATGTTCACATTTCCTTTGTAAATT